TCCCCAACTCTCGCCTTCAAAAAATTTTTGTCAATTCTTTGGCCAATTCTGTATTTCTATTAATTTTGAAAACAATTAGCATTGTTCCAAGAGGACAGAACTCTGCTGAGTTCGACGATCTACTTTTTTAGTTACATTTTTCTTTTTTATATCATCATGTATCTGCCCTGTATTTTACAAACGTATAACATATCGCGGAACAAAAAAAAAAAAATCAAACTGCGTTAGGTGATTTAGAACAACACAATAAAAATAGAAAAATTTACGATTAAAAAACAAAATAAATAGATGTGCGGACACAACGATATTCAAATTGACAAGAATGAAAAACCGTTTAGGAGCGAGAACGACGTCTGCGATAACTGTCCACGCTGCGACTTCGCGAACGGCGCGCCGAACGTCCCCTGTAGCTATACAATGATTCAAACGTGCCCTTTTCAGAATACAGGTATCAAAATTATGTTCAGATGCCGAACTGCCATAATATTTCATCGTCTGCACCCAAGTAGTAATCCATGTTGTCACAGAGCATGGTGCAGATATAGGATTCAGCCGGAAGAGGAAGGAGAGCACGGGATGAAAGAAGGGAAAATGAATTATTTTGCGTGATCTGTGCATTCCAAATACGTGCTGGTGGTAGAGTTTTTGTACGCCATGACATCCTAAGTTCGATGCTCTTGGAAGCAGCTTATGATTAGCTCACAAGGCACCTTTTCTTGTGGATACGTCTGTGACGGGTGAAAATCATCCCTCTGCGACATATCCTGTTCATCCCTCCGGGAAAAGAGCAGCAAGGAAAGTAAAGAAATGACTGACAACAGCGACAGCCAGGGGCATCGGGTGATTTCACCATAGCAAAAAACTACCAGTGCCGTGAAGATATGCTACTGCAAATTTTTACACGAATGTTTCGCAGGTGTTGCCCTTGCTCATCTTTTGAGTCTCGTCAGTGCTACTGGAGATGGCTTCTCTTTCACAATCACTATAAACTACTGCAATTGTCCTAAACTGTTTTTTTTGCTGAGCACACGAAACATGTCTATCCCCTATATGATAAACAAATGTAACCTATCGTACACGACGGAACTCTTCGAACTTTGGAGTGTATTGGAATCAGGGTGAAAATGAAAACTTACTATCTTGGAGCTCCTTTTGTGACGGAGAAATCG